TGTTAACTGGTTACAACTGATACATAAATAAAAAATACAAATAGGTGTAACCGATTAACGCGAATGCGTAACCGATTACACCAACTCCAAAAGTTATTTTTCTCCTTCCAGAAGTATTTTTCACCAAACTGTAACTAGTTACACCCTAGTGTTAACCAGTAACAACACTTTTAATTAGTGTATTTTCATATAACACACCACTTTAATGCAAGTGTTCCAAGTCTTCCATGTCCATACTCATCTCCAATCTCTTGAACACGTCATTTGTGACTCCCTTAGTCAATGAATCAGAAACATAATCTTAAATTGCCTTCACTAACAAGCTCTCTCAAGTAGTGAAATCTCATCTCAATGTGTTTGCTCATCCCATATGAAATTGAGTTCTTAACAAGGTTAATAGCGAAAACATTGTAAACCAATAGCGTAACAGCCTCACCCTAGATTCATTAGCTACATGACTTGGCATACACATAACAAAGCATAAATATACTCGGCATCACAAGACGAGAGTGCAACTATTGGTTCCTTCTTAGAATACCATGAGATTGATATTCCACCTGTTGTACCCCAAAATTTTCCCTCTCATTTTATCAACATTTCTCATCACAAGGCCCTTGGAACTCAAGATCAAGCTAGGGTTTACTCTGCTCAAGACACCTCTTTACACTATTGACCTAAATTAGGGTTTGTATTTGCACAGGGATGTTTTGACCTACAATGCCCAAAGTGACTTTAATACTTCATGTTGGACTCATAAGTTTTCCCATACCAAGTTTCAAGCCTTGAATCAAATTTTTGCCAAGTCAATTGGACAGTTGACCTAGAAATCAGTTGTATTGGGGAAAAAGTCAACTGTGGCCAATTGACAGTCAAACCTCATGAATTTTTACCCACATCAACATTATGAACTCATATGAACCATTTGATCACGTTTGGATCACAATTCCACAAGAAATTTGATCAGATCACCAAAAGGGCAAAATGGTCATTTTTAGGATTTTGACTGTACAAAGACAATTTTTGACTGTTTGACCTAGCCAATGGCAAATCAAGCTTAACCATGGACTCAAGGACTCAATGACATTATCTTGACCCATTCAACAAGTTCAAAATATCTCAAATGCATAGGATTGACAGATGAATTTTTCAGTCAACTGATCTAAATTTGACTGTACACTGAAAAGTCAAACTTTGACTTTTTGGTCAAAATCAAGTGCCAAGGGTCATTTATCAAGACATGTAAAATTATGAAACTTGTTCATCAAGAAACCCAAAATTGCAAATTAGGGTTTGAAATTGAAAATTTTCATAACTTAGAAATTTTTTAAGTTATGAAATTTTCTTAATTTTTCCTAACTTTGCTCCATATTTTCACCAAGATTCAAAGGGATTCAAACAAAACTTACAACATGAAAGTTGTAGTCCTCCACAAAGTATACAACTTTTATTCACAAAGTTTTCTCAAAAGAAGCTTAGATCTCAAGTTATGATTTTTGGAACAAGGGTCCCTAAAACTTTTAACTTAGAGAAATTTTGCCCTAGTTTAGGCAGGATTTTGACCCATCTTCTTGGCCATTTTTCACATAGTTCCACTTGTAGTATTGAGTTTCATTTCAAATATGGATTATAGTAAATGTTGCAAGCTTTCCAAATTATCCAATAACTCCTCAAACACCTTTGTGGTTAGGGAGAATCGAATGCTTGAAGTTGGAAAAACTCACTTTGTAACCATGGCCAATACATGTTCATACCACTTGCTAAATCTGAACAAACTAGATTAGTACATAATTACAGGCCTCTAAACCAATTTACACTCAAAAATTGAATGCAAATACATTGGACATTGGCATTGTTCTGATCAAGAGAGCATTGTACAATGAACATTTCCATTTTGAGCATAAAGGTCACACTTCCATTTTCATAAAGGGAACTTTATGTCAAATTGCATTTTCTTGAGCCTTGGACTTTTTTCCTTGCAGCAAACAAGTTCCCTAATATCAGGCATAGTACACCAACTTGAGCATGCTTGTAACTAGCCTGTACAGGCCATAGCTTGGTCACTTCACATCTTTGTTTTCAAAACAAGTCAAATGGCCAAAAGCTCATAACTTACACACCTGATAAAATCAACTCAAGCAAAGTTTTCAAACAAGTTTTGTATACCCTTGTAAGCCAGAAGCACGAGCTTTTCACCCCTAAAGCACCATTATACTCAAAACCACATTTTCTTGCAAAACAGGGCCAGTTCTGCAAATCACAAGCCACAATCAAATCCCCTCGTGCGTTTTATCCCAAATCACTTCAACACATTCTAAACAATACACCTAAGCTGTCCAGACCATTCACAAGCTACTGTAACTCCATTAACACACATCACCATTTTTGTTTGGAAGCTTTGCAGGTTGAGTTCTGTAGCACGATTCAGGCCACTTCAAAATAAACTAAGCATTGGGAAAGGTTCAGGGGACGTCAAGCAAGCTCAAAAGAACCTCAGGCCCCATTGAAAGTTGATGCATTGTCCAGCTCAAACACAACTGGAACATGTATTTCATGAACTTCTATCTCTCTATTTAGGAACATTTGGACTTAGGTTTGTGAATGAAAGATGTTATATTCATTGCCCTGAAACCATACATGTGCTTAGTTTTCATTTATATTAATCGTGCTAGGAGAATTTCATCCATGAACTTTCTGAAAAAACTAGGTTAGAAATTAGGTCCAGAGAAATTCTCTCTAGTCTTTGAGAGTTAGATTTAATGTTTTATATGGTTGAAATCGTTGTTTGATGCTCTACAAGTTTCATGTTTTGAGTTTTGTCAAAAAAGCACTAAAACGGGAAATACAAGTTTGAACTGGCCATGCGCGTGTTTCTGTTGGACAGAGGAAGAAGATGAAGTAGTTGGGCTGGGCCTGGCTATTTCCTACTTTTGGGACACCCCCATTTTAAGTTTCACACCCCCTGGCCCATTTCTTTGTATATTTATTATTTTTGCATTTTAATTTCATTTCTGACTTTATTATTTTATTTCCAAACATAAAAATGCCTAAAAAATATTTTCATAAATTTTTACATTTTATTTGGTATTTATTTTAATTATTTCCAACATTAAAATGTTTAAATACTTTATATTATTTTGTTAAAACTTAAAAATAATGTAAAAAATACTTTTTTTTTTTTTT